GATCAATTCACAAAGGACGAATGCTTTGAGACTATGAGCATTGCTAATGTGAGGATCCACGTGGAAAGATCAATCAAACGGGTGAAGGCATGGCACATATTTGATCAAGTAGTACCATTGTCTATGCATGCCTGCATAAATCAGTTGTGGACTGTTGCATCATTAATTGTCAATTTTCAAAACCCTATTCTTTCAGTCTAATTTTGACGTTTTAAAAGTTACTGTGTTTACTTGAGGTCAGTTCATGTGGACTCAATTCATTGTATAAGAACATTTCTTTGATGTTAGTAAGTTTTAGGTTCATTTAACGAGAAAAAAATCCAGAGCATGGTTGAAACAAAGTGAGTTCAATTTAGGAATCATAGTTTTGGACCACAAGTCTTTGTCAGGAAACACTTGTTGTTTGAATATGTCTCCTATGCCTGAATGTGCCACAAAGTCAATCCATGAGAGCACAGAAAGGCCCAACTGACCCTGAAGTTGATAACAATATGAATGCTCAGTGTTCAGAATAATTTGCCCATCTTTTGAAACCAAAAAATGGTTTGCTGTGAAAGATGGGTGGTCAACAGTTTGAGCTATCGAGAGACCCATGGATCCTGCCTTTGGGTTAGTTTTTATCTCCACTCCTCCAAACTTATCATTTGACATTGGATCAAAAACAACACGATCTAGAGATGCCCCTAAATGAGGTAGGGATGGGTTGACACTTAAACCAAATTCTGCCACTCTCAGTCCAGTGTTACCTTCCTCATGCATTTTTTTGACATACATATCTGCAACTTTGTCCTCATTTTCTCTGCCATATTTAACAAAGGGCAAGTTGCTGATATCAACTGGGTCACGGATTGCTCGCAAAAAATGCAGGTGTTGGCTGAGTCTTTCTTTTCAAAATTCTTTGAAACTTTGATGCTGTGATGCGGTGTCTTCTCTTCTCATACCATACATTGTTATTTGCTTGACCAATTGTCTTGGCGTAAATCTCCTGTGCTGCTTTGCTTGAAGGGATACTTGAACCATATTCAAGATGTTTGGAGCATTAGGAGATAGATTCAAGTCAATAGTTTCCTCACAACATCTGTTGGGTAGTGGAGGAAAATTAGTAAAACCTTGGCTGGGGGAACTGTTGTTGAGACACTTGGGTTCAATGGGTGTATGCCTGGGCTGACTGTCAGTAGAATTTTCTAAGTGGTTGGCCATGACCATCAGTAACATTTGAATTTGTTTGGGTAGGAACATGCCCACTTTCATTACTACTTCCATTCATTGCTGGATTGGGTGACTGGTAAGAAATTGGATCACAGGAGGTGACAGGATTTGTGCTAGCCATTTGAAATCCTTGAAGCTCTTTGTGAAGCACTGATCCTCTTGCCACTGGCCCAATCAAGGTGATTACAGTAGGAATATTTCTGTCTTCTGGCAGCATCAAAGCAAATGGAAGTTTTGGATTGATCTCTTGAAGATTTTTCTTTAATTCAACTATGGAGTCAGGGTCAATTTTTCTTGACTTCACTGGTCTAGGATCATAGAATTGACTATATGTCCCCTTTTTCTTTTACCTGGCCCATCAGAGGCATGCCTTGGTTTTACAATACTTGTAGTCACCACTGGTGAACAGTTTTGACGTACATGTTCTATTGTTGCACTCTTTCAACTCTCCCTTTCTTGTCATGTCTTCCAGTATCCAAATAACTGCCATTACATGACAGCAGCATTCACTTTCGGATGCTGGGCACTGACAATCACAGGATGCTGATTTACTTTTATCAGTACACATACTGCCCCCTTGCACTGTTAATTTAATCTTGTATTTACGATCTCTCTTTTAAGAGGCCCAACAGCAGGCCTTCACAAAGACAATTTTTTGTGGATCCTTGTACACTTGTAAGTCATGGACAAATCTCATCATTCGTAACCCTTTGTCATTTGAGTTCACAACTACATCAACATTGTCATACTTCTTAATAGACTTGCCAGAATTTTAGATAAGTTGAAACGCATGCATCGGAACAAAATTTGAAAGAACTAACAAGTCATTGTTGAAAACTTCATTCACCACTTCATTTGTTGGGAACAAAACCTCTGGATTTTCAGTTGACAAAGAAATCGA